TACCAATGCATACTTTCTTAAATTTGAGACTCGCGTTCACCCGTTGTGTCGCCGACTTCATCAACTATTCTACCTTATCTGCTGAAAATCTGATGCGCTGGTTTGTTAAGTATTTACACACTTAATGGGGAGTGTTGCAGTCATATTTAGAATATGAATGTGATTGTGTAAATCATAGTAAATCTAGGAGCATCTCTAGTATTCCCTTTAGGAGTTGATTACTTATTAAGAGTTGTAATCCTAATAGGGTAAGGTTTTTACCTATTATATTACTATAAATAAAGGTACAATGTGGTGATACACATACCTCACAATTAAATCTCTCTTCTCTCTCTTGCTACTGCGCGGCCCCTCTCTTTACCTTTTAGTATAGTTCAGTTAAATAGTTTTACAACAAATCTTTATTTAAAAAAGAAAAAAAAACAGAAAAAAAAAAAGAAGAGAAAAATAGGTTTTAATTCTAGTCAGTGGCTTATAAAGCTGTTCATTGGGCAAAAGGCAATGACATAATTACCATTTTGACAAAAGAAAACGACATAATTACCAAGAGATTTTATGACATAATAAAAATGTGTGATTGACTTACAATAACTGTTTTAGTGGGATTTGGATCCAATGGAGAGGATCTTCCTGACTAATCATCGTGAGCAGTTAGATTTTTATCCAACAGCTACAAACAAAGGGTCTCTTTAAAATTATAATAATTGTAACCGTCGGATAAAAATCTAACTATTCACGATAATTAGTCAGGAGGATCCTCTCTATTAACTCAGGAGATGATCCAAATCCGTTTTAATGACTCTTCAATGGGTTGTGTGTGTGTGTATATATATATATATTTTTTTTTTCTTTGGCTATGTCTAAAAAGAATAAGCGCGTAAAGGGAGACCCCATCCTATGTGCCTCTTTTTTGACCATTTACCATTAAATTTCATTATTACACATTTACTAAGTTGAATATTGGCTGAATGTGTCCTCCGCTTGCACTAGGAAACTTCCTCGGAGGAGCATTCTTAATTTCACCTTTCTTTGTTTATGTCTTCCTCTAGGGATATATTATAAACTTTTCTTCTTAAAGTGCCTGCGCAATTTCGTCTTTATATTTTTCGATGTTTTTCTTGTTGTAAACTTTGATGATTTTCTTGGAACGTGCATATACTTTTATTGAAAGGTGCCTTATAGTAAATGTTTTTGGACAAAATTTTCTTTTAATGCATATTTAAAATGAAACTTTAACGAAAAATTCATAGTACTGTTCACTTTAATGAAAAATCATGTTTTTACATTAAAAAATCAATTCTGGTACTATTCGCTTTACCCTTTATTTTGTCCTTATAGTTAAAATTCAAAGTTTTTATGTCATTTTCATACTTTTATTGACAGGTGCCTTATAGTAAATGTTTTTGGACAAAATTTTCTTTTAATGCATATTTAAAATGAAACTTTAACGAAAAATTCATAGTACTGTTCACTTTAATGAAAAATCATATTTTTACATTAAAAAGTCAATTCTGGTACTATTGACTTTACCCTTTATTTTGTCCTTATAGTTAAAATTCAAAGTTTTTATGTCATTTTCATTAGTTTTTCTTATTTAAAATAAGGGTAATGTTATGGAGATTGAATTTGGAAATAAAATTTGAAAACTAAATAATGTGTTATCAATAGAAATGAATACATTTATCAATTCTTAAGTAATAAATCAATCATCAACTTCCATATCATTTAGTTTTCAAAATTTTATTTACAAATTTATCTCTTAGCATTACCTTTAGAAGAAAACTTTAAAGTAGTAGCATTATCAATTATCTATTATTTTTTTAAGTACGTGAAAGTGACTAATCCTTGTCACTTCAAATTTTTGAGAAAATTTTCATTGTGCTGGAAATACTGGTAATACACAATGTGCCATTATATAAGTATAAGGAAACTTTATTTTTTTAAGGTTTAGCGTTTAGGGTAAGTTATGGGCTCTCTTATGACCTCCCGATAACCTCGAAAAGACAGATTCCAAATCTTAGATAATATTCTAATAGTGAAAGACCATATTCTTAGCCCTCTATGATTTTTTTTTTTAGTGTGCAATTCACTTGTTTTTATTTTTTAAGTATTATAAAAAGGTAAAGTGTTTAAAAATTTCTTAAAAGAAATTGATCATTAATTGAAAATGTTAAAAATCCTACGTAAAAGAAATTGGTCACTAATAAAAAATGTTAAAAATTTGTACGTAAAACGTGAAAATATATCAATTGAATGAGAAAATGCTTGCTTTTTCTTTTTGTTTTTGTATAATTACAAGCAATGATGGACCACTAAGTGCGTCACCTACATGCTACGGTAACGTGTGGTGTGCTGGTCAGTCTTTGTCAGGATTAAATTGCTTTGGATGCTCCGGTGGTTAAAGATGAAATAAGTGGATGGAGCAACAAAGTTAAATTTGTGGATAAAAAAGCGCGTAAGGCCGGGAAGGTGGGCCTACTGGCTACTGTGTGCTTGCCACTACACTAAAGCCTGTGTGCTTGCCACAACCATAAAGCCCCGTAGTAGCATTATCAATGATCAAATATTCTTTAAAGTAACTTTGTCCCCATACCTAATAAGGACTACGAATTTAATGTTTCCATGTATTTACACGTTTTCTGACGTAGAGAGATGAAGTTGATTGTATTCAAGTTTTCAACATTATTGTCATCGCCGTCGGAACTTTGTTTTACATCGACTGCAGACCATTAACATTTATTCTTCATCTTCTGCGGCCGATTCTGATGTAGCTGATTTTTAATTGGTTGGTTTCGATGGCAAGCTGATAAACTCTTTTTAATAATTATATATACATTTATAAATACGATTCATCAACATTAGCATAAAAGTTATTCTTGTATAGATAACATGATTAGTCATTTCCACACAAGTTTTTCTTACTTACTTTCCAACTAAGTTCTAGGCCTTCTCATCACCTCTCGATAGCCTCGAAATATAAATTTTAAATCTTAGACAATCTCCAATAATGACGGATTATATTCTTATCCCTCAGTGATTTTGTAATGTAAAATTGACTTGTTTTTATTATTTTAGGAATTATAAAATGGTAATCAATCGATAGTGCTTATAAATTTCTTTGAAATAAATTGGTCACTAATTGTGAATGTACAAAGCTTTGTACGTAAAACGTGCAAAATACGAAAATTGAATGAGAAAGAGTGAGCTTTTTTTTTTTTTTTAATTAAATTAAATTTATTTATTTAAACTACAAGCAATATTCTATATTAGTCTATATTAAGAGAAGGCGAAGGGTTTGAATTGACACACAATGGATTAAAGAGAAATGCCCCCAACCATAAAGGCAATCCATCCCTTTACGCAATGGTTGAACGAGTACATAATCTGAGTGCTACAGTGACCCACTAGGTGTAGGTTAGTTGTCTCTGTCAAGATTAAGTTTTATTGATGGTCTACTGATAAAGCTGAAACTAGTGGATGGAAAATAAGAAGAATAGCGCTAGAAAGACTAAATTTGTATATTAAATTTACAAACTAAATGACATGTTACCAATAAAAAAGAAATGCGTTAATCAACGCTTAAGTAATAATCAAATCATCACCTTTCATGTTATTTAGTTTATAAAGTTTAGTCTATAAATTTAGTCTCCCTAACATTATCAAAAAAAAGTAAAAAAAAAAAAAATATGCGGAGATGACATGACTTGTGAGTTGTGACTTGTAAGCTTTAATGAAAGTAATGAACCGGTGAGGATGTGCCTTTTTTTTTGTCTTTCTTCTTATAGTGAAATCAAACTGTGTTTCAAAAAAAAAAAAAAAAATCAAATTAAATTGGTTGAGACTCTATAATTTAATGAATTGATTTGTCATTAGTGTTCGGAAAGTTAGAGTTCAAATCTTGTTCAATCTCAATTGGTGAATAACTATATTCTTAGCCCTCAGTAATTTTGTAGTGTGAAAATTATAAAAATGTCCTCAATCAAAGTTGCTTGGAAATTTCTTCAAACTGATCACTAAACTGAAAAACTTTACAATCGTGCACGCAAAGAGCGTAAAGGGAGGGCACCATCTCATGCGGCCCTTTTATACTTTTACGACCGTTCATCTCTCACTCATCGATATTCCTGAAGGAGCCTTTGGAACTTTAGTCAAAAGCCAAGTCGATAGCTTTGAAAGTAGGGGTGGTAAATTAATTCATTAAATTATTAATGAATAACTATTAAGACTCGTTTAACTTGATTTTTAACATAACATAGCGGTAAGATTGATAGTTTTAATGACTGTGTTAGTCAAACTAAATGAGTTTGAGACTCCAGTAACTTGATTTGTCCCATGTGCTGAGAAAGATAGATACCAAATCTTATTCAATCTCCATCCATGAACACCTATATACTTTTTTTTTTTTTGAAAAATAAAGACAACTGGAGCAACTCGCAACTATCTATCTCTTCTGAGACCAACTTCAATGGTGGGCTAAAAATCAAATTACCCCCCAAACCCACTCCAATCTAAGGGATAATTTTGGGCTATGCTAAATGCTAAACCAATGCCAAATTCCTCCCAAAATTTAGCCTAGAAATCGAAGTGGATTCCACCAAATATTTATCGGCATTTAAATTTTTTTAGATTAAAATGTTTATAAAATTAATTTACGATGATCTACATATTTATTTAAAAAAAATCAATTTAACAAAAAAAATAGCCTAAGTTCATTCTTTAATAATTCCAGGCTAAAATTTTAGGCTAGAACGGTTGGAGCAGAAAAACTATTTCTGTACTAAAAGCTAAATTTTTCGGGTTAAAAAATTTGGCTTTTAGCCTAACCTTGGAGATGATTTGAGGATGAAAAGGCTATAGTGAGCTTTACCCTAAAATTCACTTTTTTGTAAAATAAAAAATTAACAAAATGTCGCAATCAAAGGTGCTTGGAAATTTTTCTTCGAAGAAATTGGTGACTAATTAACTGGGAAAATTCAAAACCATGCGTACACAAACTGCGTAAAGAGAGGCCCCATCCCATGTGCCCTTTTTTATGCTTTTGCAACTGTTCATCTCTTACTAATCGCTTTTCCGGAAGAGCATTTGGAACTTCGTGCATTTACTCAAATGCAATTCAAGTAAAATTCGGAACTAGTCTTCCCTTCTCTCTCGTTTCATTAGATCCTCCTCAATTCTTAACTACCCTCTCTCTCTTGCTTTGCTTTATTGGATCCTCCTAAATTTTGAACCAGTCCCTCTTTCTACTCTATTCACAATTAATCTCTCTGCACAACTACTTCTAGATCTGAAAACTAGAGGTTATGGATATGGTTTCTTCTTCTTCTTCTTCTTCATCCGCTGCTGATACAAAAAAGTAATTGTTTTGGATATTATTTTGGAGGTGGAGAAAATAAACAAGCCCTTGTCAAATTGGTAACTCGTCCGAGGTTGGTCGGTGTTTATTGATACTGTTTGAGGCTCTTACTGTATTTTTTGTCATCTATTTTTAATTAATAAGTTTTGGTGTTATGTTGTGCTGGCATTTAAATTGCTAATTAATTTTTGTTATGTCTGCTGTTAATTTCTTTGCCAGTGACCTGTCACCGGATGTCACTTTGTTTTGTTTGCATCTTGATCAATTGTCTTCCTTTTGACGTTTGGATTAAACGGTTCTCTTAACAGAGGTTCTGAAAAGCTTCATTACAAAAGATTGAAAGAGAAAGCGCCAATGGAAATAGAAAACAAGGAAGAGAACAGAAGAAAAAGGTCTCAAGTTGATTTTTTGCATCCTTTTTCTGTGGTGTTTTTTGGTATGCATGATAATCTGATTTATGTTTATTGACTATACGAAACATAACCAAAACTTCACTTGCAGGAATCGATCAGGTGACGATGATGATACTGATTGTGAGGGGAGCAAAGCAAGGAGACAAGGTTTGCACTTATATCATTTTATGGTTTTCAAATACTGGTAGTTTTGCATGTTGAGATGACGTCGTTCATATTAAGATTGCAAATATATGAGTATCTTTCTTCAAATTATAGTTTTTTTAAAGAAAATATGTGCCTATTTCGTTCATCTCTCACTCACTGAAACTTTGTGCATGTAGTCAAAAGCCAATTCTAAGTAAATTCTCCTTAATTCGATGCAACGTAATAATATTATTTCTCTTTACTTAACAATAATCTCTCTGCAACTACATCTTTTTGCTGGATCTGAAAACTAGATGTTGTGGATATCGCTTCTTCTTCTTCATCCACTGCTGATGCTGATGATACCAAAAAGTACGATGTGTTTATTAGTTTCAGAGGTGAGGACACCCGCCGTACCTTTACCAGCCACCTTCACGCTGCCTTACGTGAGAAAAAAATCACAACCTTTATTGATGACAAGCTTGAGAGTGGAGATGAAATCGCACCTGCCCTTCTCAAAGCAATCGAGGAATCAGAGCTTTCGGTGATCATTTTCTCGAAAGACTACGCTTCTTCCACGTGGTGTTTGGATGAGCTTGTGCATATCCTAGCATGCAAGGAAAAACATGGCCAGTTGGTTATACCCATTTTTTACGACACCCTTCCATCGGATGTACGAAAACAACGGGGGGGTTATGAGATTGCATTTGCTCAACTTGAGCAACGTTTCCAGAACAGTATCGACAAGGTGCACAAGTGGAGGGATGCTTTGACGAAAGCAGCAAATATATCTGGGGTTGATTCAGAAAAATTTAGGTAACTAACTAATTCTTTAACTTGTATAAAATTATAAATTTTCATTAAACTTTTGACGATTTTATTTGTGCTAAGATTTTGTAGGGTATATATATTTAAGACTAACTATTACTTTCCCACGTATATATGTCAGGACGGATGCTGATTTAGTTAAGAAAGTTGTTGAAGATATTTCGACCAAATTGTGTCGCGCATCATCCCGCGATTTAAAGGGCTTTGTTGGAATTGAAAGTCGCATTAAGCAGGTCGAATCGCTATTAGGCATTCATTCATCGGATGCTTGCATCACTGTCGGTATTTGGGGCATGGGTGGTATTGGCAAGACCACCCTTGCTGAAACTATATTTCACAAACTCTCTTCTAAATTCGAAGCTTCTTGTTTTGTTAAGAATGTTAGGGAGAACTCAGAAAAAGTAGATGGACTAGATCACTTGGAAAAAACACTTCTTAAGGAGATATTAAAGGAAGAAGGTCTATCCATACGATCAACTATTGTTCAAAAAAGGCTCAGACGCACAAAGGTCCTCATTGTTCTTGATGATGTGAGTAGTTCAATGCAAATTGAACGTTTAGCTGGAGATCCTCCTTGGTATGGCACTGGAAGTATAATCATTATCACAACTAGAGATAGGGGCACACTTGGGAAAACTGTTAAAGAGGATAATATCTACAAGGTTGAGGTACTAAAACCGGATGACGCTCTTCAACTCTTCTGTTCGCGTGCTTTCAAGAATAACAGTACGCGTATAATAGATTGTAAGGAGTTGGCAGAAAAGGCGGTGGCTTATGCCAAAGGCCTTCCTTTAGCTCTTACAGTTCTGGGGTCCTTGTTCTTCAATTGCAAGAGCAAAGAAGAATGGGAAGATGTGTTCAACAAATTGAAACGATTTCCCAGTGAAGATATTCAGGAAGTGTTGAGAATAAGTTATGATAGATTGGGAGAAAATGAGAAGGAGATATTTCTGGATATAGCATGTTTTCATACAGGGGAGTATCTGGTTGAGGTAAAACAGATGTTAGATGCTCGTGGATTCTTTGCGACAGATGGAATTAGAATTCTCAAAGATATGTCTCTCATATCAATTGATTCAGAACTGGAAACCATACCGGTGGACCTAGAGATGGACGATTTTCCACAAGAGATGGACGATTTTCCACAAGAAATGGGAAGGGAAACCATAGAGATGCACGATTTGCTACAAGAAATGGGTGGGAAAATTGTTCAAGAACAAGGTAATAAAGATCCTGGTAAACGGAGTAGGTTGTTCAATGATGGGGATGTCTATCGTGTATTGAGCAGTAACATGGTAAGAGCCGAATGTATTCAATTTTTTTTTTCTTTTTTTTAGAAAATAAAAATTACAAACTTGAGATGATAACAGAAGAAAGTAAAACTAATTTATAATAAAGAAGTGAGATTGTTAAAAGATGAATTTGATTGAATATTTATTGTGTTAGGAAGTGTTTGGAATATGAACAAATGTTTGTTTATTTAGACAAGTAGAGGAGGATACAATTATGTTGGATATTTGACTAGACTAAGACACTTGTACATGATTACCATTGCAAATACTCTTTGTTCCAAATGTGCGTTACATTTTAACATGTTGAAAACATATATATTCACATTTAAACTTTCTTCTTATTCTCAGGAAACTCCAAATGTTGAAGTCATAAAGGTTTATTGGCCTTACATTGAAAAGCGATCATTGAAACATGTAGACTTCAAAACGATGTCTGACCTTGAAGAGCGATCATTGAAACATGTAGACTTCAAAAAGATGTCTAACCTACAAATGCTAATTGTAAAATGCGGTTATCTAGGCCCTCCCTATTCTCTAGACCTTCCCGATTCTCTTCGTTATCTTGAGTGGTGGGGATATCAATTGGAATCTTTACCGTCAAAATTTTTTCCGGAAAATCTAGTTGAGCTTCATATGCGAAATAGCGGAGTGTAGAAATTATATGCCTATTTTAATTCTTGTATAAAATCAAGTGTAGAAATTATATTAATTCTTTATATTTCTATTTCATTTGTTGCAGATACTTGTCAACTTACAAGTTATCGATCTGTCATTCTCTAAGCATCTAACTAAAGTTCCAAATCTCTCTGGGAGTCTAAAAATTGTGAAGATAAATCTCAGGAGCTGTAAGAGTTTGGTTGAAATTCCTTCGTATTTTCAACATCTTGACAAGCTTATTCATCTTAATCTGGGGTACTGCAGGAGTCTCAAGTATCTTCCAAAGATGCCAGGAAGTATTCAATACTTAGATTTAGAATGCACTGGTATAAAGGAGGTGCCTGAATCAGTTTGGTCTAACGAAAATATTTCTTACTTGAATTTAACGCGTTGCAGATACCTTAAGAAACTTCCAAGCAGCAGGTGTAAGTTGAAAAATCTCGAGAAACTTGATCTCGGTGGGTCTGACGTTGAAAATCTCCCAGAGATTTGGGAGCCAATGGAACATTTGAAGTCCTTAAGTTTATCATACACAGCAGTTACAGAGCTACCCTCATCAATCTGTAAGTTGAAATATCTTGAGAGTCTTGATCTCACCGGGTGCTATGGATTTTCCAAATTCCCTGAAATCTTGAAGCCAATGGAACAATTGGTGTCTCTTTGTTTGGTAGGCACAGCTCTCGAAATGCTTCCTTCGTCAATTGGAAATCTAAATAGGCTTCAAGATTTAAACCTTGGTGGGTGCAAGCAACTTAAGGATGTCCCAACAAGTATCTCCAGTTTAACCAATCTTAAACGTCTCAAATTTAACTACTGTTGGAGACTTGAAAAATTGCCTTCCACTCTCTGTTTTCGCTCTTTAGAAGAACTAAAACTCATCTGGAGCGGTATATTGGAAATACCAGCAAGCATCAAACAAGCTTCTCGGTTGTCTATGCTCGACGTACAATATTGCCGTCAGCTTCAATCTATACCAGAGCTCCCAGTGCTATGTGATGTTAACGCTCAAGGCTGCACGTCGCTGAAGATAGTGTCAAGTTCAAGGACAGCACTCACACAAGGTTGGGATAAACCTAATTATTGTTGCAGAATCTTTACTAATTGCCCAAAATTGGATAATAATTCAAGGAGCAACATAATGGATGAAGCACAGATTGCAATTATGCGAATGGCAAGTGTTGCGCCTTTTGAGTACCATCGCCGACATCATAATCCCTGGCCTCAGATTAAGATTGCATATTCAGGAAAAGAAATTCCAAATTGGTTCAACTATCAAAATGAGGGATCTTCAGTAGACATCGAGCTTTGTCCAGATTGGTTTCGAACAGGTTTATTTGGTTTTGCTCTCTCTATTGTTATTCCTCCGAATTTAGATAACTTGGGTGCCCTCTTTAGTGTAAGAGCTAATTTCATTGTCAAATTCATGGGTGAAAGCCATGAACTGTTCAGTTCTAAGTACATTAGACCAGGCCAAGACTACACGGACGGCCAACATCACGTGCATGTGTGGAATGAGGCCTTTAGAAGTGAAGAGGTAGGAAAAAACTGCTCCCCTGATGTTTACATACTTGCCAAAGAGGCCTCTGTTGTCTTCTGCCTGGTGGATTGGATAGGACGACCTGCTTCTCCGTCCTCTGTGAAGGTGGAAAGCTGTGGTATATGCCCATTGTATGCGGAAGATGCTGAGAAATTCAATTTTGGTCATGTGTTCAAGTCGAGGGGACCAAAAGTAGAAGAAGAAACAAGACAAGATGATGATTCCAAGGGTCGTGGATCAAGTGATGAGTCTGAAGCAAATGACAGTGATTAGGAAAAACTTTTTAAGGCAAATTTGTACTTTGATAGCTCACTTGTCTGACCAAGAAATAAGACAACAACTAGGCAAGGGCTTTATTATTTTGGTATTGTTTATGCTTTATACATTATGAAGCGCTAGTTATGGAAGTGTATAATAGCCTATTTGTTATCTTTAAAACTTATCAGGAAGTAACAAGCACGCATAACTTTGCTGCTCAGGATGAGAAAATTGGGGAAAAATTAAAGTTCTAAGTACCTTTTTATCAGCTTCGGTTGCTTCTTTGAACTTTGAGTTTAGTGAGTTAACCTCCTCTGTACTCAGTTGATCTACAAGATGTTTCTCCAATTCCAGTACTCTGGGTTTCCGCTAATTGGCCTGCTGCTTTTCCTCAGCATGAGAAGGAGCAACCGTCTTCGGTGGCCTGCCTCCAGCTAGGGGTGCCATGTGCTGAGCACCAAGACCAGGCATCAGTTGCTGTTGTTGAAAGCCTTTTAAAGTGAAAAATAAGAAACTGTTCTCCATCAAAGAAAGACATGTTTCAAAATATAAAAGTGATGTGTTTTATGGATGAATACCAGAAGCAGGTCTCCAGGCTACATTGCCAGCATTGGAGTAATTATTTGCAGGTTCAAAAATATTGGATTTATCAAACATAACATTGCTTGGTAGCACTGCTGGAAGAGGGCGTCCCTCCCTAAACCGCTCCATCAAAGATAATGCGGCATGATGGGTAGTCATTCTATCAATCTAGACTGCACATTTAGACATGACTCAATTTAAAAGTATACATTTATGGATGTTCGTACGTCAATTGGCCAGCAAAAGATTACTCCCAATGAAAAATTAAATTTTATATCTACAAAATATCTATGGCATATGTAAGTTTTTACATCAAAATACGAACACATCATGCAACGAATGAACATCCAGCAGCAAAGCATCTCGCAGAAAAATATGATTGATTGAGCCTGTTATGTTCAGCAATTCAAGCTAATGAGAAAGTGCATTCATATAATCAATATTTAACATAATGTGCCCCTGGTTATCATTTTATACGGAAATTCCTTCAGCAAAACAAATATACAGCTTTAAGAACCTATTTGTCGATATGATCCTGACCCAAGAACATTTCCCCCGTATGCGACAATCCTAAATACTCCATAGTCATCTTATACTGAAGGTTTTCACTACTGCACAATTTCTAAAGTCTGCTTACCCCCTCAGGTCGAATGGATACACCAGAAGGTATATTAATGACCTGATAACATAACTCTCTCAACCTCACTAACTGTAGTATAAATTCTTCATCTACTTATTTTCTACCATTTCAACATCAATTCCGCATTTATACTAACACGAAATAAAAATCTCAGCTTAGATAAGAGAATTAAGACATCCCGACCTCACATTTACCACTTCAACTACAATTAGACTACAAATTCAAAATCAATCTGATTCGGAACACAAATATAATCATACATACACATCCAATTTAACATATGCACACATGCATATACATATATATATAGAGAGAGAGTACCTGAGCAAGGACCTGTTTGGGTGACCAGAGCCCTGGAAGAAAGCGACGACTTCATTGCCACTAATCCGGCCATCGCGGTCCAAATCGGCCCCTCGGAAATACGCATCCAAGAGATCCACATTCGCTGATTGGTTCTGCCGCAATGCCATCGCCACCATTGGATTGCGATTCGCGGGAGATCAGACCACGGAATCAATCGAGAGCGCCGCGCGCTCAGGCTGCAGTACGCGTAAGGAGCGCCCGGAAGAATCAGAAAACCACGAATTCGGAGGACCATGATTTGGTTGCCTTTCTTCTTCGATTCGGAGGAAAATCAGAAGACGACGGAGACACTAAGCGATGCCGGTGGTTTGGGGTAGAAAAACGATGATTTTTCATTTTGATTTTTTGTGAAAAAAATGGTGCTGTATTTGTGTTATATTTCAAAATTGCCACTGGTCCTAATGAGCCCGGCCCATTAGGTACTACCATTTAGAAATCGAGTTGGTTTGCAAGTTTATGTTTTCGATTTGTCAACTTAATGCGAGATTGAGAAGGAAGCTACAATTTAATGCGAGATTGAGAAGGTGCACATATAGAAAGGTGCAAATTCATGCGAGATTGAGAAGGAAGCTACAATTTAGAAATCAGAGTCATTTGTTTGTCGAATATTTGACATGTTACATTGTGAGACTATAAATCGCAGATGTACATTTAGACATCGTTCTGTAAATACGTCTAAAGAAGAAACTTAATTGATAATCTATACACACCCATACAAATTAACTACTCTTATCATGGCCAACTAGCAGCTCATGTCCACGACGGTTTTGTGTTCACGTTACGTCGGTTTCACGTCTTCTTTTTCTTTAAGGAGACGATCAATGATTAGCATTCTAAATATGAATATAAACCCTTCAAATAATTTCATTAGTTGGTACAATTAAGGTATTTTGATTGATCCCTTTTGTGATCACCTCATTTTCGCTATTTAATTAGTTCCTGAAACTTCTTGCATTACATGATGTGCATGGAAAGGTCTGTTAAATAAAACATTGGGGATCTTTGAAGTAGTACCATGTTTCATATCAAAATCAAAGAACCGGCCTAATAATTGATGTAATTAGTGAACATTGACACATAATGTAATGCATTCTTAATTGGAGCTACAACCTTGTCTAGTTTCCATTTTTTGTAAGTGTATATGTTAGTTTTGCGTATGTCGTCGGCCACTCTCAATCACTAAGACGAATTTCTCGAATTTTATCAAGTACATGTCAATTTATGTGCTCCTAACTATTTTTTTGTATAAATAGTTACACCTTCTTATTTGCAAATGTTGAGAATAGTTGCTCACGTGTGCGTAAACGATAGGCTATGAATACAGACATAACTTGAATTCTAATAGGATATTTGGTTTTAAAAGATAAATAATAAAGTTGAGTATTTTTTAGTATACCGAAAACACGATCTAATACACCAAATGCTGTTTTCCAATCATGGACTATATTTAATAAGTTACTATTTTTTTTTTTGAGATATATTTAATAAGTTACTATTAAAAGATAACTCTTGATTTGGTTAATATGAAAAGAAAAGGAAATTAGGGTATTATTATTTTATATTAATATGAATATTACTTAATTATTTTGTCAGACATTTATCCATTAGCTGGTGTAGCAGCTAATGGGAGGCCTGGACTGCATACGGCGCTTCCCCAACGCCCAGTTCCACCGCCATTTATGTCCCCAGGCCTCTCCACCTCCTCAGTCTTCATCACCGCCGGCAAAAACCCTCCTCCTATTCTCTCCCACATCAAACACCCAAACTAGAACAATCAACACCAAAAATGCCAGTGCTGGGTACAAGAAGAAGGGGAAGATGAAGTTGGCAGAGATCTGACTCTCAGACCTCCTTTCTCCCTCCCTCAAAACCAACAACTACTCTGTATGTTTGATTTTTACCCATTAATCAATTGTCCATTTTTGCTTTTCTTGCTTGCTTGTTTGCAAAGTTTTGATCTTTTATCTGAAATTTTACACAAATTGTAAGTGTTCATGAGATACATTAGCATTGTAGTCTGCTAGTTTTAAAGAATTGTCTCACATAGGAATATGTGTTGTCCATCTGTTTGGCTTGAGTGCTGCAACATGTGACAGGGCACGTGAGGATATGAAAGACTGTCCCAGGTCGGAAAGTCAAGGAACCTTGCATAGACTTACCAGGAGGCGGGCTACTCCCCCATTTCCAATTTGGGGTGGAACCTCAATTTCCGTCACTCATTGCCTATTTTTGCTTTGCTTTTTTCTTGCTTGCTTATACATAAAGTTTTGAGCTTTTTCTGAGATTTTGATATGAATGGGAAGGTTCATGAGATACATGATGTGTTCTGGGGTGGGCTGCCGCAACGGGGAGCTTTGTGGCCGAGGGAGGAGTTTATGGGAGATACGTGGAAGCAGGTGATTCTGGTTCCAGCTTCTGGGGGGGTTTGATCGTTGCCATATTAAACTTGCTTCGAGATGCCTTCTGAGGATGGTTCACAAGATAACAATGGCAATGAGCAAGGAGGAGAAAAAGGAGAGAATTTATTAGTGAAAATGGGAATGCCTGTTTCGGTTTTTTATGGTCTCAAGGCTGCATCATGTCCTTTTTTCAAGCCAATTGCTGCTTGATCAGGTTGAGATTGGAACTGGGAACTCGTTAGCTCCTGAAGGTCCTGGCGTTGAGATTGGAACTTCTGTAGCCAAGGGCATTGGTCCTGTGTTTGATAAAAGTTCATAAAGCAGGCTCTCTCTTGTGGCTGCCTGATCAGCTGCTGGATTTGCTTCTGGTTGGTATTCAGTTTTGTGTATGTCTGTGCTGCCCATATCAAGACATGTTTGCCCTCATGGTAATTGTTGCTGTTCTGTTTTGACAGGGTTTAATGCTGCTGTTTCTGGTTGTTTCCTTGGCGTAGACTTAGTGCTGTGATAGCTTCTGTAGTTTCAGAAGTTGGTCCTGGTTCTGAAGCAGCCTTTAAGGTCCCATACTATGACTTCCATTCACCAACTGTTACACTATCAGTTATCTGTCAATTCTTCAAAATGATACACATAATCTCTGAGTATTTACTTGTTCCTGGTAATGTGATTTGCCTTTACTGAATATGGTTTCTGAATTTTCCCATTATTTGGGTAGTTGGATTTACATTGCATATTCCAAATGGGTATTTTTTCAGGCATACCTTTAGTATATCTAGAGGTTGATGTTCAAGTTATTGTTTAAAGCTGCGGTTTTAATAATGAGACGTATTCGAATCATTTTCAGAGCCTCCGCTATATCTATTGCACATAGTATATGTTTTTATTTGTTGACAATCTTCACAAGACCGTTGGCCTACCAAAATTTTTGTTCCCTATCGTGGGTGGCTTGGCTATTGGGCTGATGGCATTGGTATATCCTGAAATTCTTTATCGGGGTTTCGAGAATGTTGACATTTTTCTGGAATCTCGACCACTTGAGAAAGGCCTCCCAGCTGATCTGTTTCTTCAGTTGGTAGTGGTCAAGATAGCTGATCTGTTTCTGCAGCAACAGGAATGGCATACGGCAAAAACATCGGTTCTGCAGTTGCTCAGTCCAATCCTATACTTCATCTTTCTGTCTTTGGAAGTAGCATCACCGCAAGCATACGGCCTGGAAATGTTTTTTTTCCTATATGCATTCTGGTTAGACTTTAGGCTCTTATTATCAGAAGTAAGTTGTTTCCTTTTGTGATCGCCTCATTTTCACTATTTAATTAGTCCCTGAAACTTGTTGTATTACTTGATGTGCATGGAAAGATCTATTAAATAAAACATTAGGGATCTCTTGGCCAAAACCACAAAACCGGCCTAATAATTGATGTCATAAGTAAACATCGACACATAATGTAATGCATTCTTAATTGCAGCTACAACCTTGTATAGTTTCCATTATTTTGTAACTGTATATGTTGGTTTGGCGTATGTCACTGGCTACTCTACATTGAAGCGTGCAACTCCAGTGAATTTCTCGAATTTTATCAAGTACATGCCAATTTTATGTGCTCTCAACTATTTTTTGGTCTGCATAGTTGCATCTTCTTATTTGCAAATGCTAATAACAGTTGTTCACGTGCACGTAAACTGTAAGTTATTAATACATAGATATTGAAGTTGAGCATGAATCCTGTGGTATGTGTGATGGTATGGATTTTTCATGGAAAAGAGTGTCCAAGGGAAGCCAAGATAACCATGGCAAATGTGTATCTTCATGTGTTCTTTACACATCTAAGCTATTACTAGCAAAAAGACTCATGCGATGCTGTGGGTGTTTAAAATATTGTGAACATATACCATAGAAAACAGAGGTTATAGAAGTTAGATTTATATAGGTAAGTTCTTTGTTATCAAAAGATTGGTTGCTCACTGTTCAAAAGATAATTTCAATATGGACAAAGTCTATATTTATATAGATAAGTTAGATTTATATAGGTAAGTTAGAAAACAGAGGTTATAGAAGTTAGATTTATATAGGTAAGTTAGATTTATATGGACTATAATCTTAGGCCTCCATGATTTTGTAGTGTGAAATTGACTTGTTTTTATTTTTTAGGGATTAAAAAAAGGTACTCGATCAAAAGTGTTTGAAAATTTCTTGAAAGAAATTGGTCACTAACTAGGAATGTTCAAAAATTTGTACGTAAAATGTGTTAATACGTGAAATGAATGACAAAGAGCTTGCTTTTTTTTTTTCTCTTTTTTTTTTTTAATTACAAGCAATATTCTACATTAATCTCTATTAAGAGAAGACGAGAGGGTTTGAACTGAGACATAGTGAGTTGAAGAGAAATGGCCCAATCATAAGGGCAATCCACCGCTTATTTTTTTTGCTTACATTCAAGCTAAGTTCTGCGCTTCTTAAGACCTCCTGATAGCCTCGGAAAGACATATTCCAAATCTTAGGCAATTTCTAGTAGCGAATGACAACCCTCCGTGATTTTGTAGTGTGAAAGTAGATTTTGTAGTTTGAAATTCACTTGTTTTTTTTTTTTTTTAATTTGAATTATAAAAAATAAAAACTAATGAAAATTACTTGAAAACTTTGAGTTTTAACGATAACAACAAAATAAAGGATAAAGTGAATAGTACAAGGATTGACTTTTTAGTGTAAAAATGTGGTTTTTCGTTAAAGTGAACAGTACCGATAGCTTTTCGTTAAAGTTCCTTTATAAAAAGGTATTCAACCAAAAGTGCTTGAAAATTTCTTGAAATAGATTGGTCGCTAACTAGCAAAGTTCAAAACTTTGTATGTAAAAGGTGTAAACACATCGATTGTATGAGAAAGAGTTCTATTTTTTTAATTACAAGGATATTTTACCCTAATATATACTAAGGAGATGCGGGAGAGTATGAGCCCAAATCATAGTGAGTTGAAGAGAAATTATTTAACCATAAGGGCAATCCACCACTTGTTTTTTTTGTAATCAAGCTAAACTCTAGTTCACCGAAGCCAATTTGGGAGGTGTGCATTTTCTATATCAAGGTTTGTTAGTTCATTTTCAAATGTTTTAGTCGGTTTTATATTTAATTGAAGAGTCATGTACATTTGGTACGCTACTGTGACATCTTAGACTAATAATAAGCGAACAAGGACGTAACATGAGTGTTATGGTGACCCACCAAGGGTAGGTTAGCTGTCTCTATAATTCAATGAATTGATTTGTCACTTGTGCTCGGAAAGACAGATTCCAAATCTCTTTTGAGCTCTCTATGATTTAGTAGTGTGAAATTCACTTATTTTCTTTTGAAAATTATAAAAATGTAGTTGCTTGGAAATTGCGTGAAAGAAACGGAAAGGGATCCTCTCTGGATCCCTTCCACCTAATCCACTAAATTTGAAAATCTAGGTCATTGAAATTTGATCAAACGGCTATAAAAAGGATTCATTTTCAAAGTTATAATAACTTTATCTGATAGATTAAATTTCAATGGTCTAAATCTCTGAATTTGATGAATTTGACGAAAGAAATTTAGAAATGATGCCTTTCCGAATGAAACTAATCACTAACTAGAAAACTTTATAATCGTGCACGCAAAGGGCATGAAGGGAGGGCCCCATCTCATGTGCCCGTTTTTATACTTTTATAACTATTCATCTCTCACTCATTGATATTCCTCAAGGAGCCTTTGGAACTTTAGTCAAATGCCAATTTGAGTAAATTCTGAACTAGTCTCCCTCCCTCCCTCCCTCCCTCCCTCCCTCCCTCTCTCTCTCTCTCTCTCTCTCTCTCTCCTGTTTCATCAGGTCCTCCTTAATTCTGAACTTCTCACTTTCCCAAAAAAAAAAAAAAAAATTTCTGAACCTCTCTCTCTCGCTTTATTGGATCCAACAAAAAAAATAAAAAATTCCAGCGACTAAAACCAATATGAATAAATCCATAATCTTCCAAGAAACGAGGTCGTGCATATATAAAACAATTGCAAAATAATTATAGACAGAGTTGCCGCCTGCGAGATAATTTGGTTAAAATTCAAAATTTTAAATTTTTTTTATTAGTTTTCTTTAATTATTAATGTGACATCTCACATCGTCCAGATGAGTGATTCTTATATGTATATTTCCATCTCTACCTAGCACAAGGCCTTTTGGGAGGTTATTGGCTTCGGGTTCTGTAGGAACTCGAAAGTTAAGCGAAAAGGGGGCTAAAGCAATCTCATGATGGGTGACCCACTAGGAAGTTGCTCGTGAGTTCCCAAAAACAAAACCATGAGGGAATGGTAAGCTCAAAGCGGACAATATCGTGCTACGGTGATGGAGTGGGCCCGAAAAGTGATCCGTCCCAGGACGAGATGTGACAATTAAGATACTATTTTGATTTAACGATAATATAGTAGAAATATTGATAATTGTAAGGATTGTGTAATATCTTAACAAATGAATCTATGACTCTAAATTTTTTTTATTAATAATTTAATGAGTTGATTTGTTACTTGTGCTCGGAAATACATATTCCAAATCTTGTTCAATCTCCATTGGTGAACAACTATACTCTCAGCCCTCTATAATTATGTAGTGTGTAATTCACATATTTTTTTTTGGAAATTATAGAAACGTTCTCAATTGAAATTGCTTGGAAATTGTTTGGAAATTTCTTGAAAGAAAATGGTGATAGAGTAATCAAGGAAAATTCAAAACCATGTGGGCAAAGCGCGTAAAGGGACATGCTTGATTCATTCAAAAGTAGAAAAAAATGGGATTAATGCATTATGGAATCAGAACCCGTAGCAGCACGTGCAATTTTCTAATTATCTCTGAAATTGAACAGGGGGTAATACATAATTTTTGAAACTGAACATAAACATGAAAATTATTTTTAAAACTGAACACACGCTTATTTTTTAAACTAAACACAATTAGGGTGCATTGATTATTTCTTAGACTAAATATGGTATGACAAGTTATCGGCGGGAAACGAGATCGTAGTTCTCGCTCACAAATCAATGCCACCGTCAACACCGTACACTGCCCGCATGGGGCATGAATCTGCTTCTCGGGCTTTGTCACACCACTCACCACTGACATTAGAATTGCTTTCTCTCTCTCTCATATCCCTAACTGCTTTTGTCATTTTCTTTTGTGGCCTCAAGATATCTTCCTCCTCAATTACCAACCGCGCGTTTTCCTCGACAACATCAAAAGCCAATTAAATATTATTTTTACTAATTAATAAAACATTAATTTTCAATTAAAATTCTATAAAATTACTAATTTAATCATTTAATTAAAATAAAATATGAGTAAAAAATATAAGTTAGAAATATAATTTTACACAATCAAATTTTGTTTTTTTTTTTTAAATCTTATTTACATGTAATTTTAATATATTTTTAATTATATAAAAAAAAAACTTATTACTCCCACGTTTTCCATCACTCAATTCCTCTCTCTTTCTATTTTAAAAACAAATAAAAATTTTCTCATACACTTTATGTGTGACTTTCTGTTAATTTTCATTAAATACTATTTTTTATTAAAATACTATCTCTCCTCTATACAGACCTTTTCCATTAAATACTATTTTTTTAGGAAAATATTATTTTCCCTGGATTTTCCAAAGGCATGTGTCTGCTGACGAGGCTTTACCCAAACGCTACACGGCGGTGAAACAGACGAATTAAAATCCAGTGACTAAACCAATATGAATAAATCCATAATCTTCCAAGAAACGAGGTCGTGCATATATAAAACAACTGCAAAATAATTATAGACAGAGCGGCTGTTTGTGAGATAATTTGGTTAAAATTCAAAAAATTTCAAGTTTTTTTTTATTAGTTTTTTTTAATTATTAAAATACATTTAATTTGATTTAACTATAATATAGTAAAGAGATTGATAGTTGTAATGATTGTGTAATATCTTATGGTAAAATCAAACAAAAGAATCTATGACTTTAAAATTTTTTCATTAATAATTTAATGAGTTGATTTGTTACTTGTGCTCGGAAATACAGATTTCAAATCTTGTTCAATCTTCATTGGTGAACAACTATACTCTCAGCCCTCTATAATTATGTAGTGTGGAATTCAAATATTTTTTTTTTGAGAAATTGTTTGGAAATTTCTTGAAAGAAAATGATAATAGACTAATCAAGGAAAATTCAAAACCGTGTGGGCAAAGCGCGTAAAGGAAGGGCCCCATCACATGTGCCCCTATTATGCTTTTGTAACTGGTAGTCTCTTACTCAAAAAGTTTTTCCAGAAGGGCCTCTGGAGCTTTGTGCATCTAGTCAAAAGCCAATTCAGGTAAAATCTGGGCTAGTCTCTCTCTACCCCTCTATCGTTTGTTTCATTAGATCCTCCTTAATTCTGAACTACTCTCTCTCTCTCTCTCTCTCTCGCTTTATTGTATCCTCCTTAATTTTGAACCAGTCTCTCGTTCTCTCTACTGCTGGATCTGAAAACTAAGAAGTAATTGTTTTGGATATATTATTTTGAAGGTGAAGTTTTCTTATTTTGAAGGTGGAGAAAGCAAACAAGCCATTGTCAAATTGGTAACTTGTCAGAGGTTAGTCACTGTTTAATGTTTACCGATACTGTTAAAGGCTCTTTCTATATTTTTTGTCATTTCTTTTTAATTAATAAGTTTAGTTGTTATGTTATGCTGGCATTTAATTTGCTAATTAATTTTTTTTATGTCTGCTGTTAATTTCTTCTCCGGTGACCTGTCACCGGATGTCAATTTGTTTTGTTCGCATCTTGATCAATTGTCTTCCTTTTGACGTTTGGATTAAACGGTTCTCTTAACAGAGGTTCTGAAAAGCTTCATTACAAAGGATTGAAAGAGAAAGCGCCAATGGAAATAGAAAACAAGGAAGAGAACAGAAGAAAAAGGTCTCAAGTTGATTTTTTGCATCCTTTTTCTGTGGTGTTTTTTGGTATGCATGATAATCTGATTTATGTTTATTAACTATACGAAACATAACCAAAACTTCACTTGCAGGAATCGATCAGGTGACGATGATGATACTGATTGTGAGGGGAGCAAAGCAAGGAGACAAGGTTTGCACTTATATCATTTTATGGTTTTCAACTACTGGTAGATTTGCATGCTGAGATGACGTCGTTCATATTAAGATTGCAAATATATGAGTATCTTTCTTTAAATTATAGTTTTTTTAAAGAAAATATGTGCCTATTTCGTTCATCTCTCACTCATTGAAACTTTGTGCATGTAGTCAAAAGCCAATTCTAAGTAAATTCTCCTTAATTCGGTGCAACGTAATAATATTATTTCTCTTTAATTAACAATAATCTCTCTGCAACTACATCTTTTTGCTGGATCTGAAAACTAGATGTTGTGGATATCGCTTCTTCTTCTTCATCCACTGCTGATGCTGATGATACCAAAAAGTACGATGTGTTTATTAGTTTCAGAGGTGAGGACACCCGCCGTACCTTTACCCGCCACCTTAACGCTGCCTTACTTGTGAAACAAATCACAACCTTTATTGATGACAAGCTTGAGAGTGGAGATGAAATCGCACCTGCCCTTCTCGAAGCAATCGAGGAATCAGAGCTTTCGGTGATCATTTTCTCGAAAAACTACGCTTCTTCCACGTGGTGTTTGGATGAGCTTGTTCATATCCTAGCATGCAAGGAAAAACATGGCCAGTTGGTTATACCCATTTTTTACGACACCCTTCCATCGGATGTACGAAAATAACGGGGGAGTTATGGGGTTGCATTTGCTCAACTTGAGCAACGTTTCCAGAACAGTTTCGACAAGGTGCACAAGTGGAGGGATGCTTTGACGAATGCAGCAAATATATCTGGGGTTGATTCAGAAAAATTTAGGTAACTAACTAATTCTTTAACTTGTATAAAATTATAAATTTTCTTTAAACTTTTGACGATTTTATTTGTGCTAAGATTTTGTAGGGTATATATATTTAAGACTAACTATTACTTTCCTACGTATATATGTCAGGACGGATGCTGATTTAGTTAAGAAAGTTGTTGAAGATATTTCGACCAAATTGTGTCGCGCATCATCCTGCGATTTAAAGGGCTTTGTTGGAATTGAAAGCCGCATTAAGCAGGTCGAATCGCTATTAGGCATTCATTCATCGGATGCTTGCATCACTGTCGGTATTTGGGGTATGGGTGGTATTGGCAAGACCACCCTTGCTGAAACTATATTTCACAAACTCTCTTCTAAATTCGAAGCTTCTTGTTTTGTTAAGAATGTTAGGGAGAACTCAGAAAAAGCAGATGGACTAGATCACTTGGAAAAAACACTTCTTAAGGAGATATTAAAGGAAGATGATCTATCCATAGGATCAACTAGTGTTCGAAAAAGGCTCAGCCGCACAAAGGTCCTCATTGTTCTTGATGATGTGAGTAGTTCAATGCAAATAGAACGTTTAGCTGGAGATCGTCTTCGGTATGGGACTGGAAGTAGAATCATTATCACAACTAGAGATAGGGGCACACTTGGGCAAACTGTTGAAGAGGATGATATCTACGAGGTTGAGGTACTAAAACCGGATGACGCTCTTCAGCTCTTCTGTTCGCGTGCTTTCAAGAATAACAGTACGCGTATAACAGATTATAAGGAGTTGGCAGAAAAGGCGGCGGCTTATGCCAAAGGCATTCCTTTAGCTCTTACAGTTCTGGGGTCCTTGTTCTTCAATTGCAAGAGCAAAGAAGACTGGGAAGATGAGTTCAACAAATTGAAACGATTTCCCAGTGAAGATATTCAGAAAGTGTTGAGAATAAGTTATGATAGCTTGGAAGAAAATGAGAAGGAGATATTTCTGGATATAGCATGTTTTCATACAGGGAAGTCTCTGGTTAAGGTAAAACAGATGTTACTTGTTCGTGAATTCTGTGTGACATCTGGAATTAGAATTCTCATTGAGAGGTCTCTCATATCAATTGATTCAAACTGGGGAATGGAAGCCATAGAGATGCACGATTTGCTACAAGAAATGGGAAGGAAAATTGTTCAAGAACAAGATATTAAAGATCCCGGTAAACGGAGTAGGTTGTTCAATGATGAGGATGTCCATCGTGTATTGAGAAGTAACATGGTAAGCGCCAAATGCATTCAATTTTTTAGAAAGTAAAAATTACAAACTTGAGATGATAACAGAAGAAAGTAAAACTAATTTATAATAAAGTAGTGAGATTGTTAAAAGATGAATTTGATCGAATATTTATTGTGTTAGGAAGTGTTTGGAATATGAACAAATGTTTGTTTATTTAGACAAGTAGAGGAGGATACAATTATGTTGGATATTTGACTAGACTAAGACACTTGTACATGATTACCATTGCAAATACTCTTTGTTCCAAATGTGCGTTACATTTTAACATGTTGAAAACATATATATTCACATTTAAACTTTCTTCTTATTCTCAGGAAACTCCAAATGTTGAAGTCATAAAGGTTGATTGGCCTTACATGTAGACTTCAAAAAGATGTCTAACCTAGAAATGCTAATTGTACAATGCGGTAGTATAGGCCCTCCCTATTCTCTAGACCTTCCCGATTCTCTTCGTTATCTTAAGTGGGGGGGATATCCATTGGAATCTTTACCGTCAAAATTTTCTCCGGAAAATCTAGTTGAGCTTCATATGCGAGGTGGCAAAGTTAAGGAGCTTTGGAAAGAAGCGCAGGTATATTATATTATATGCCTATTTTAATTCTTGTATAAAATCAAGTGTAGAAATTATATTATTTCTTTATATTTCTATTTCATTTGTTACAGATAGTTGTCAACTTGCAAGTTATCGATCTGTCGGACTCTTACTGTCTAACTGAAGTTCCAAATCTCTCTGGGAGTCTAAAACTTGTGGAGATAAATCTCTGGGGCTGTAAAAGTTTGGTTGAAATTCCTTCATATTTTCAACATCTTGACAAGCTTATTCATCTTGATCTGGGGTACTGCAAGAGTCTCAAGTATCTTCCAAAGATGCCAGGAAGTATTCAATACTTAAATTTAGATGGCACTGGTATAAAGGAGGTGCCTGAATCAGTTTGGTCTAACGAAAATATTTCTTACTTGGATATAACTGATTGCATAGACCTCGAGAAACTTCCAAGCAGCAGGTGTAAGTTGAAAAATCTCTATCTCCGTAGGTGCCCTGAATTTGAAAACTTCCAGAGATTTTGGAGCCAGTGGAACATTTGAAGTCCTTAAGTTTAATTGAAACAGCAGTTACAGAGCTACCCTCATCGATCTGTAATTTGAAATATCTTGAGAGTCTTGATCTCACCTTTTGCTCTTATTTTTCCAAATTCCCTGAAATCTTGAAGCCAATGGAACAATTGGTGTCTCTTTGTTTGGTAGGCACAGCTCTCGAAATGCTTCCTTCGTCAATTGGAAATCTAAATATGCTTCAAGATTTAAACCTTAGTTGGTGCCAGGAACTTAAGGATGTCCCAACAAGTATCTCCAGTTTAATCAATCTTAAACGTCTCATATTTAACGGCTGTTGGAGACTTGAAAAATTGCCTTCCACTCTCTGTTTTCGCTCTTTAGAAGAACTACAACTCAGCCTGAGCGGCATATTGGAAATACCAGCAAGCATCAAACAAACTTCTCGGTTGTCTATGCTCGACTTAAAGAACTGCAGCCGGCTTCAATCTATACCAGAGCTCCTAGTGCTATGTGATGTTGACGCTCGAGGCTGCACGTCGCTGAAGATAGTGTCAAGTTCAAGGACAGCACTCACACAAGGTTGGGATAAACCTAATTATTGTTGCAGAATCTTTACTAATTGCCCAAAATTGGATAATAATTCAACGAGCAACATAATGGATGAAGCACAGATTGCAATTATGCGAATGGCAAGTGTTGCGCCTTTTGAGTACCATCGCCGGCATCATAATCCCTGGCCTCAGATTAAGATTGCATGTTCAGGAAAAGAAATTCCAAATTGGTTCAGCTATCAAAATGAGGGATCTTCAGTAGACATCGAGCTTTGTCCAGATTGGTTTCAAACAGGTTTATTTGGTTTCGCTCTCTCTGTTGTTGTTTCTCGGGTTTTCAATATATGGGACTTCTGGAGCGTAAGAGCTAATTTCATTGTCAAATTTATGGATGAAAACCATGAACTGTTCAGTTCTAAGTACATTATCCCAGGCCAAGACTACCGTGACGGCCAACATCACGTGCATGTGTGGAATGAGGCCTTTAGAAGTGAAGAGGTAGGAAAAAACTGCTCCCCTGATGTTTACAAACTTGCCAAAGAGGCCTCTGTTGTCTTCTACCTGGAACCTAAACATTCTGTATTTCATCCTTCTGCTTCCAAAATGAAGGTGGAAAGCTGTGGTATATGCCCATTGTATGCGGAAGATGCTGAGAAATTCAAATTTGGTCATGTGTTCAAGTCGAGGGGACCAAAAGTAGAAGAAGAAACAAGACAAGATGATGATTCCAAAGGTGGTGGATCAAGTGATGAGTTTCATTGGTGTCCAACTGGATGGGAGTGGTCATGTGGAACCTCTGCGAAATCGCCTATCAGAGAGCAGAGATCTAGAAGGTTCTAAAGCAAATGACAGTGATTAGGAAAAACTTTTTAAGGCAAATTTGTACTTTGATAGCTCACTTGTCTGACCAAGAAATAAGACAACAACTAGGCAAGGGCTTTATTATTTTGGTATTGTTTATGCTTTATACATAATAAAGCGCTAGTTATGGAAGTGTATAATAACCTATTTGTTATCTTTAAAACTTGATTAACCTTTATATCATATAACCATAGACATTAATTAACACACCATGCCAGGGCAAAGTAAAAATCTCACAACCAAGCGCGATAGTTTGAACATTCAACACAACAAAAATATGCGATTGTTCAATGGCTGAACTGCAATGAGCCAAAAATATGAACGGCCCGATTGGACTAACACTGGCAAAGCTCAGTGTTCTTGTTTGCACCAAACAAAGATCAGCGAAACAAATTTTATTAGAGAGGGTAAAAATTTACAGAATATTAAGGCTGAAAAAAGAAAGGCACAACCCCAGTTTAATTATACAATCATCAAATTTGTAACAATGATAAAACTATAGGGCTCTTTGCTTCAATAGGACTAGGAACTTTTCAAAATTAAGGAGAAAAATTATACGTCGCGCTACAAGCTAAAGGAAGAAAAGAATGAAGATATATTAGAGGTTCGATTGCTGAACTGCATTTTGACCCGGAAATATTCAATTTTCTCTCTAGCATCCAAGATTTCTTTCCCCAAGTCTCTGAGATGTTTGTTATGATTTGACACTTACCAGGAAGTAACATGCACACATAACTTTGTTGCTCAAGATGAGAAAATTGGGGAAACATTAAAGTTCTAAGTACCTTTTTTATCAGCTTCAGTTGCTTCTTTGAACTTTGAGTTCAGTGAGTTAACCTCCTCTATACTCAGTTGATCTACAAGATGTTTCTCCAATTCCAGTACTCTGGGTTTCCGCTAATTGGCCTGCTGCTTTTCCTCAGCATGAGAAGGAGTAACTGTCTTCGGTGGCCTTCCTCCAGCTAGGGGTGTCATGTGCCAAGCACCAAGACCAGGCATCAGTTGCTGTTGTTGAAAGCCTTTTAAAGTGAAAAATAAGAAACTATTCTATAACGAAGAAAGACATGTTTCAAAATATAAAAGTGATTTGTTTTATGGATGAATACCAGAAGCAGGTCTCCAGGCTACATTGCCAGCATTGGAGTAATTATTTGCAGGTTCAAAAATATTGGATTTAGCAAACATAACATTGCTTGGTAGCACTGCTGGAAGAGGGCGTCCCTCCCTAAACCGCTCCATCAAAGATAATGCGGCATGATGGGTAGTCATTCTATCAATCTAGACTGCACATTTAGACATGACTCAATTTAATAGTATATATTTATGGATGTTCGTATGTCAATTGGCCAGCAAAAGATTACTCCCAATCACAAATTAAATTTTATATCTACAAAATATCTATGGCATATGTAAGTTTTTACATCAAAATACGAACACATCATGCAAAGAATGAACATCCAGCAGCAAAGCCTCTCGCAGAAAAATATGATTGATTGAGCCTGTTATGTTCAGCAATTCAAGCTAATGAGAGAGTGCATTCATATAATCAATATTTAACAATATGCCCCTGGTTATCATTTTATATGGAAATTCCTTCAGCAAAACAAGTATACAGCTTTAAGAACCTATTTGTCGATATGATCTTGACCCAAGTACATTTCCCCTGTATGCGACAATCCTAACTACTCCATAGTCATCTTATACTGCAGGTTTTCACTACTGCACAATTTCTAAAGTCTGCTTACCCCCTCAGGTCGAACGGATACACCAGAAGGTATATTAATGAACTGATAACATAACTCTCTCAACCTCACTAACTGTAGTATAAATTTTTCATCTACTTATTTTCTACCATTTGAACATCAATTCCGCATTTATACTAACACGAAATAAAAAACTCAGCTTAGATAAGAGAATTAAGCTACAATTAGACTACACATTTACCACTTCAACTACAATTAGACTACAAATTCAAAATCAATCTGATTCGGAACACAAATATAATCATACACACACATCCAATTATACATATACACACATGCATGTACATACATACATATATATATATATAGAGAGAGAGAGAGAGAGAGAGAGAGAGAGTACTTGAGCAAGGACCTGTTTGGGTGACCAGAGCCCTGGAAGAAAGCGACGGCTTCATTGCCACTAATCCGGCCATCGCGGTCCAAATTGGCCTGTCGAAAATACGCATCGAAGAGATCCACATTTGCCGATTGGTTCTGCAGCGATGCCATCGCCACCGTCGGATTGCGATTCGCGGGAGATCAGACCACGGAATCAATCGAGAGCGTCATGCGCTCAGGCTGCAGTACGCGTAAGGAGCGCCCGGAAGAATCAGAAAACCACGAATTCGGAGGACCATGATTTGGTTGCCTTTCTTCTCTGATTCGGAGGAAAATCAGAAGACGACGGAGACACTGAGCGATGCCGGTGGTTTGGGGTAGAAAAATGATGATTTTTCGTTTTGATTTTTTGTGACAAAAATGGTGTTGTTTTTGTGTTATATTTCAAAATTACCACTGGTCCTAATGAGCCCGGCCCATTAGGTACTACCATTTAGAAATCGAGTTGGTTTGCAAGTTTATGTTTTCGATTTGTCGACTTAATGCGAGATTGAGAAGGAAGCTACAATTTAATGCGAGATTGAGAAGGTGCACATATAGAAAAGTGCAAATTCAGCGAGATTGAGAAGGAAGCTACAATTTAGAAATCAAAGTCATTTGTTTGTCGGATATTTGCCATGTTACATTGTGAGACTGTAAATCGCAGATGTATATTTGAACATCGTTCTGTAAATCCGTCTAAAGAAGAAACCTAATTGATAATCTATACACACCCATACATATTAACTACTCTTATCATGGCCAACAAGCAGCTCATGTCCACAACGGTTTTGTGTTCACGTTTAATCGGTTTCACGTCTTCTTTTTCTTTAAGGGCACGATCAATGATTAGCATTCTAAATATGATTATAAACCCTTTAAATAACTTCATTAGTTGGTACAATTAAGGTATTTTGATTGATCCCTTTTGTGATCACCTCATTTTTGCCATTTAGTTAGTCCCTGAAACTTCTTGCATTGCATGATGTGCATGGAAAGGTCTATTAAATAAAACATTGGGGATCTTTGAAGTAGTACTATGTTTCATATCAAAATCAAAGAACCGGCCTAATAATTGATGTAATTAGTAAACATTGACACATAATGTAATGCATTCTTAATTGGAGCTAGAACCTTGTCTAGTTTCCATTTTTTGTAAATGTATATGTTAGTTTGGCGTATGTCATCGGCCACTCTAGATTGAAATGGGCAACTTCGTTGTGGATGCTTCTTTTGTTCTCAATTGTAGCAAAAATGTCTCAATCACTAAGACGAATTTCTCGAATTTTATCAAGTACATGTCAATTTATGTGCTCCTAACTATTTTTTAGTATAAATAGTTGCACCTTCTTATTTGCAAATATTAAGAACAGTTGCTCACGTGTGCGTAAACGGTAGGCTATGAATACAAACATAACTTATATTCTAATAGGATATTTGGTGTTAAAAGATAAATAATAAAGTTGAGTATTTTTTAGTATACCGAAAACACGATCTAATACACCAAGTGCTGTTTTCCAATCATGGACTATATTTAATAAGTTACTATTTTTTTTTTTTGAGATATATTCAATAAGTTACTATTAAAAGATAACTCTTGATTTGGTTAATATGAAAAGAAAAGGAAATTAGGGTATTATTATTTTATA